CTCGAGTGCGAGGGGAGCACTGTCTGCCACCTGTGCGGGAGATGCTGGGAGAGAGCCATGCACCTCCCGGGCACCTCCTCGCATCAGCATCTCCAGCCGGGACGGGGAGCGTGGGTGCAGCCGGGGTGGTGGGGCACAGGGCACGCGCCAGCACCCCTCCCCTGTCCCTCCCTGTGCAGCCCCCGGACGCCAGGGAAGGACACAGGAGCCGTTTGCGGGTGGGAGCCAGATATAATGGAGGGATTGAGCAGCACTGGCAAAAAACTGGGAGGGCAGCAGCCAGCAGAGCTGGGGTGGCGGGGGCAGCCGGGGAAGGTGTCTCCTCACGTACCCCATGGGGGAAGGTGAGCGGAGGGGGACTAAAAGGGTGGATGCGCTTCATGGCGATCCCTGAGCATGACCAACAGCAGCGAAGCGGTTAAGGTGTGCGGAGCCCTTTTTTGTTTGCTACATCTGAAAATAGCAGAGCCTTTGAGCACAGGCAGTGCTGTGCTGACATTTGTCCCTTCAAAGCGTCCCCTCCGCCACCCCTTGCCGCTCAGTTCATGGGGGGGGAAGAGCCACCCGCTTGGAGATGGAGCCCCGCTAACGAGGAAAGCCTCTCGAGGAATGGGACATCACTTCCTCGGGGCTGGCCTGCTAAAAATAGCCTGGCGGGGATGAATACTTGTGTGAAACAATCCGCAACCCAACATGATCTGGTACACGCTGGAATTTTTTTAGACTAAAATGAGGCGTAATGCGAGGCAGGCAGGGAGGGAAGGAGGAGAAGCCCGTTGCCTGATTTCTGGCATCTCATTAGGGGTCTCTGGCAGTGGGGAGAGAGGGGCAGATATCTCCAGGACATGATCCAGGGCAGGGCATGGGCTTGGGGACCTGGCCAGCCCTCTCGGGGTACATAGCTCTTGGGGTACCCAGCTCTCTGCTTTAAATTTTTTTTTCAGCAGGATCCCAGAGAAAATTTTTGTGCTGCAAGACTACACCAACCCATTCACCAGGAGCTAAAATACCATGTGTTATTTGTTAACCCTTGCTGGTAAAGAAACCACGTCTTCAGTCAGTAGGAAAACATCGCAGCTTTTCTTGCAAAGAGGCAGACTGAGCTCCCAGAAGCTGCCAGATGCACATTTTTCTCACCCCCTCCTAAAATATCACTGTAATTTTAATGTACTCAGACGAACGAGCAGTTGACTAAACAGACATTCATTATAAAATTCCTATTAAGAAAAGAGACACTTGGAATAATTTTGATTGATTTACTTGGCAGAGTTTTGATAGCTACTGAAAAACATACTATTCATGTTTAGGTGAAAAATAAATGGAGTCAAATAAGTGTCACTGCATAGTACTAGGAGGTATATACAGCCACATGTAAAAATGCATAAACACAAACATTTCTGTACAGCAACTTTTCCTTTCAGTCTGTATAGAGAAACACTGGTTTATAATATGGGGAAAATATAAAGCAGACATACATGCAACAAGGACATGACAGTTACATAGGTCCCACCTGCCTCCCAAGAATTACAATAATAATAACAATAATAATAATAATAATAATAAAAGCCTTTTTCAGGGAAAAAATTTGAAACCTGGAATGTTTTCATATTGAGGTTTCCAGAGAGCTTCAGATGTCAAACGTATCTGAAGGTGATTTAAAGGCTTGATTCAAAGCCCTGTGAAGGCAATGGAAAGACTCCATTGGTTTCAGTGAGCCTGGGGTCAGACCCAGCTATTTAACCATGATCCCATTCTGCCCTCCCCCAAAATCCAAAGTTGAAGTCTGCAGATAAAAATAAACAATCGTATCATACAAAACTTTGTATATAGAATACAAAAGGTAACCGTTGACTTTTTGTATAAAATACAACTTTTTGATAGTATATTTATTTCACATATGTATAAATATAACCCAAATAATATGATTTTTATTATTCCTACCAAAATATTATTACTTTTTGTGGTTTTTTTTTTACAAAAGTTTACAAAACAAATAATTCTTTATATTTACAACCAAATACTGCGAAGAGTGCCCGGTCAATGATGAAAAATAGACTATAAGGGTAGTGCACTTAGCCATTGCAAAGAAAGAGAAAAAAGACACTAGCTCCGTTCAGATAGAATTGTTCTGAAGAAATGATATTGGATTCAAGTTTTGGTTGCAAGAGTCTTTCACAAGCTCACATTTCAAATGCATCAGGCATATGTTTACAGGACTGCAAATGGCCTCTACCTTTGTTGAACTTACTTAAGACAGGATGAAATTTTGATCCCGGGGATGGCACTCACAGCCCAGTGTCTTCTCAACTCCAGGCTGAGGCCAATGGGACTGCCTCAGCTTTGAATCCACCACTGGATGATATCCTGAAGTCTTGGGACCAGCTCCTCAACTGAACAATTTCTTTACGTCATTTGAGGATCTGGAAAACAATCTGGTCTTAATACAGAAACCAGTGGTGGCTTATTCAATGGCATGTGAGGGTAGTTGAAGTTACCAGACTTCAGTGCCCATCGCTCATGATGATACTAACTCAGCCTCGGCCTTAGTGTCATCGCAGTCGTCTGTTCCTACCAGAGCTTCAGCAGTCACTGCTGACCTGCTCATGGACGGGGCGTGTGCCTGTCTGTGAGACAGATGAGCCGATCTTCCCTCCACTTTAAACTCATGTAGCTACTATTTCAGTCTAGTTTTGCACAATTTATAGGGGACTCATTTGTTAGATCGCGTCTGTATCTCTCCAAACTTAGGTGGGGTGCCAATGACCCGGGCTGAAAAGCTCTTTAAGGACTTGGAAAAATTTGTACTGGCGTATCAAAGGGACCGCATGCACCCCAGCCAAAACTGGGGAGAAGAGGGAGCTTTCTGGGCAGCTGAGCCACCACGTTACACAATGCAGGGGTGTAACTAGTTGGGGCAGCAGAAGGGACTCTTCAGCAGGCTCTCTTGTCCCTGTGATGAAAAACATGTCTGGGAATGAACAGCATCACGGACCAGCCTGCCTCAACTGGCATATCTAGCTAAATGCCCACGTTACACCTTTCCTGGAGGTGCTGGTGCTCGTTTGTGTGACGATGCTTCTTGAAACATCATGAAAAATTGTGCCCACGTGAAATGACAGGGTGAAATGACTGGAAAGGCCTTATTAAAACCTCTCTTGAGAAATAGGTCAGATAAGTGCAGAGGCTATTGTCAAGTAGTCTACTCATCCCACTGCCGCTAACAAGGACGAATAAAGCACTTGCACGGGACAGAGCAATGCCTCTTGGCACCGAGGCATCTGAACGTAGGCATTGTATTCCTTTGCCACATCTAGTTTTAGCTAATTCAGAGGAGGCTGTGAAACATGTCGCACCACATCATTTTAAAGAACAGCATTTTCATTTGAATTGCAAGATCTGTTCCCATCTATGAATCCTCCTGTCTGACTCACTGCGGAGCTGCTTTATAGTGACATAGCACCTCCTTCTGATGCCCTTATTGACCAAGCCTGTAGGAGAAAATTTAACAGTCGAGACTGTTCCCTGGCACTGAGGTGAAGCGGTGTGGAACAACCTGTATCCTTACTGCTCTGCTCTGTTAGCCTCCGAGGCAAGGTGGCTGCAAACTGTCTATGGGAATAGTCCTTGCCCCAGGTTAACTCCCTAGTGATGCACAGAAATTGCTCAGGGCAATGTTAGGTGGGCCATCCCCCAGCCCGGAACAGATGATTGAGTCCAGTGCCCAGAAATATTCCCCAAAACTGTTTCATTTACCAGCACAGATGTGGCTGAGTGGAGCCTCCTACTGTGAGTAACCCAGGTGGTTATAACTGCTGCGTGCTAGCTTCAGGGGCAGAGCCTCTCGTACTCTGCCCGACGGAGGCTGTGGGGACCTGGGCCATCATTGGACCTCTTTCAACTCCCCCATATGGCAAAGGGAAAGCAGGATGGAGCCAAAATGCTGTGCAATCAAAACGGTAGCCTCTCCCAGACAGAGATGCTGGCATTTCTGCTGGGGTAAATCTGTTCGATAGAAGAGGACTGGGCTGAACTACCTGACGCTCGCCGTGGGTTAAGATGAAAATGGGGACAGTGGCTTAGCTGAGCCACTTCATGCATTTGCCCTCCTCTAAGCTGGACTGGGAAAGTAGTCGGTGAGGGTCAAATCGTGAGCACCCTTCTCACTTAAGTTGTCCATTAAGTCACTGGAGTCCCTGGGGTAGGGCAAGGTGGCAAAGTGAGGATCCTGAGCTTTGGTGTAGTTCATCTCATGTTTCCCTCAATGCCCCAAATGATTGTGCTGCTGGCAGGACAGTAGCCTCCTCTGATACTTGCTGCAAGCACTGATGAAAGGGAGAAAACGAACGCTAGAGCACACTGAGTCACGCACCGGATGATCTGTTTCCTTCTTCCCTTGGACGAGACCACTTACCCTTCTGTGTGCTACAAAACATAGAGGGTTTAAACCAAAATCATCGGGAAAGCAAATGTGAGTTTGTACTGTGTAGAAGTAAACAGCTTTTGTAACGCAATGAGATTTACACAGGGCCTGATGCGGTCAGGGCAGAGTAGTCCCGAGGAAGTTAAGGGCTGCGAACACGATGACTGAAGAGCTCTGGACCACTTGCGCTCTTGCTTGCACTCAGAGAAATGATGTTCCACAACCCATACCACTGTCTGGTGTTTGCGTGTGTGGGAAGCTAAACACATTTTTCCACGCAGCCCTCGTGAGAAGAACGGATGGGTTTGCTATGTGCTGGGCACTGACGTGGGGAACGCACCCTTCACGTGTTCTCACTCCTTTGTGGCAGGCATGAATATCACTTATGTTATCGTTCCATCAGGGGAGACTTCAGTTTTGTTCCTAGAGCAACTCTTCAAACAGGGCAGTCGCCCTATGTGGTATTTTAAAGGACAGCCCAGTTACTGGAGTGTAAATTAATAAAGCAGGTTGTTGGCATCTAAAGAGAAAGCTAATGTCCTTAGTGCCTCTTCAACTGGTTCACCCTTGGTACTGTCACTTACGAGTGGTTCCCCAAAATTTCATCGAGGTTGATGTCTTTCATCCAGTCATCGTTACCAGGTTCCGTTTTCAGTAAAGAATCTATAAAGTCTGAGTCACTGTTGAGCGCAGGTCCTATACTGTCACCTTGCTGGTTCAGAAAGTCAAACGCTAGGTCATTACCATGGTCACTTCCTTGATAAGCCCGAGAGTTTTGGTTGGTAGATGTGAAACTGGTTGATGGCAGAGATGACGGGGGTGTCATACTTGCTCCTGGCTGATTCAAGGTAGGCACAGTCTGTCCTCTCAGCTGGTTAGGTCTTATGCTGAGACCTCGTAGTGAGCCAGCAGATTGTCCATTTAGAGTCTGGTGCATTTGGTTTAGAGGAGGCCTCATTTGGACTCCCGCTGTTAACTGATTAAGAGGTGCCAATGCACGTTGAGGAAAATGCTGGTTGCCTACGTTGCGTTGCAAAGACTGGCTAGGATACGGAGTGCCGGTGGGGAAACGGACCCCTGCGGGTTTCAGTGCATCCTGCTGCTTCACTGCAGCTTCTTGCGGGGCCCAATTCTGGGCAGTGGCAGTAGCTGTGATCATCACGTTGGCTGGCCTTTGTGTGGGGATACCTGTGGCTCCATGGTTCAAGCTGGGTCTTACTTGCTGTGAGTTGACCACAGACCCCGTCCCAAAAGCCGCTATGTTGTTTCCCTGCGTCATGGTTTGCTGTCGAGACATCATGGGGTTATTCTGACTGGGCAGAACTTGATTTTGGTTTCTGTGTGGCTGCATTTGGTTCATTCCTGAAGTCACATTGTATGCGCTTGGTTGGTTGCAAGGAAGGTTCCCGTAGCAGCCCATACTCCGAGCGGCAGGAACAGAAGGCATTCGGGTCCCAGCGGGGGTGGACATGAGGCTGGAGCTCTGGGGCATGATGCTATGAGTTGAAATTGGGTTGGATAAGGACATGTTGTTGGAACTCATACTCACAGCTGGTGAACCACCTGGAAAGGAGAAAACAAAAGTCTTAAAACAAACATGAGCACATCAATGCGTGGTGTCATTCAAATACCAACAGGTTAAAAATCCAGTTTTCTAGCAGCAGAATTTCTTGAAGGAGGTACTTTGCTCTTAAGAGGACTTGCATGAACTTGCTCAAGGCCTTAAAGATGCCTATCATCCAGAGGGTGGTTTGGTCTATATCAAGGCATTGGTGGTCTTTCCATCCCTTCAGAAGACATCAGGTAAGCCAAAACCAGTGCTCATTGTAAGAGAAATATTGGAGCAGGGAAAGACAGACAGAACCACTGGGCAGGAGAGAAGAATTTTCTGCCTTTTTTTACAGAAGTGCTAGACACCTCGGACAGGACAAAGCCTGTCTAAGTGAGCAGAGGCAGAGAAGATCGAGAACTTTTCTTCCTTACAGGGCATGGCTCATCCTGGTTCCCTCTAGAGACAATGGGGAGTGATAGGCACCATCATCGGGCCCCTTTTCCACCTTTCTTAGACACCTACAGCAGTGGTATCTATCCCTTCTGGAAATGCCTGTCCCAGATGATAGCAGGAGCCTAGACTGTGTCTCACACATTTGCAACACTCAGAACCTCCCTCCCAGCCAGGTGCTGGGAGAGCAGCTCAGCCCGGTCTGTGACCTGCTTGTCCTCCCGCGTGGCGGCCGAGCAGGCATGAGGACATGGCCTGGCGAGTGCCACCCACGTGCCCCTTCTGAGCTCCATTCCCAGCTGGGCTATGGCCATTTGCCCCTGAAGAAGCTGACTTGCCCATGAGGGAGCCACACATGATACCCGATGTGCAGGCATTTGCTGCACATGAACATCACCTTTTGTGCATCAGAAAACTAGAAGTTATAAGTTAGCACGAATCTACCATTCGTGGTTAATTCTGCTCAGTGGAGGATTTTCCTGTACCTGACATCTGCCAATGAATCACAAGAAGAGAGGTTTTGCTTCTCTTCAGCCTCCAAACCTCGACACAAGCTGACTTCTGTGAGAGATTTGTGGCTACATAGTCTCTATTTTGAGGCCACAATAAGTCACTTGTGCGATGTAGGCTGATTACTTATGCAGTGCAAGGTTCTGAATTAATCCCTGAGAGACTGGTTGAAGAAGACCAAACATTTTCTAAACACAGCCAGCGTAGGTGGCACTGTGGAGAACCCCCCTCTGCACACAATCAGCTTCTCCACAGCTTAATTCCCTTTGCTACTGTCGCTTCCAGTACAAGCCCTACAAGAAGTGCAGCTAGGAGAAGTCAGGTTCAAGGCAAACAAAAGGAGATGTTTCTTCACACAGCGTGTGGGTCAGCTGAGGAAATCTTTGCCACATGGCACAGTACAAGCTAAATTCTCGTACCACTTTTGGGTGGCTCCCAAAGTGTGAGAAAAGCTGTTGAATGGGCTTGCTACCAAGGTACCACCGCATTTCGGGAATTCCCTGATCCTCTACCAGAGGAGGAATGGAGGAACATACAGCCCTGGAGCTTTGCTATTTCATAGGTAGCAACAAGTAGCAATTGTTGGACATGGGACACTGCCTTGGTTTGATCCTTCATACATACAACAAAACCAGACTGAATTTGACTAACTTTGACTACGTCATCAAATCTTATTATATATTAGTCTGTGTGATTAATTTTATTAGTTGGTCCATCATCAATTCCTTCTTACTGCACAGGTGCTTCAGGACTGTGATCATGCCTGCAGCATTCTCCAAATACATCAGTCTCGGCATGTGGCATGTTTTCCAGTCCTTCGGTCCTTCTAAGCTCTTTTCAGAACTTGACAGTTTTCCACATTTGATTTCAAGGCTGCACATCACAGCCGGTCACAGTAAAAGCTCTTGCACATCTCCAACATGGATGTAAAGTAAGCTCTTTTTTTCTTGTTCAGCATCATCTCAGACTGTTCATTCTTTCGCTTGCAATCACACAGCCTGTTTCCAGTGATATCTATCAGCCATTTCCTTATGTGCCATGTTAATTTTGTATCACTCTGGTTTCTTAACCAAAATAGGCAGTACGAAGTCAGATGCTTTAAAGGACATTACCTGAACAACTGTTACCTTTATCAACCAAAGTTGTGGTTTCATTGAAAAAAATACCATGCTAGTTTGAAAAGATTCTTTTACATCAGCCCATGTTGCCTGACATTAATTATATTCCCTTCCTAAATTCTTTATTATTCAGGCTGTATCAGCTCCCCAGTATTTTTGCTGAGCTCTGCAGTAGGTCACTAGGGCTGCAATTACCTACTTACTCTTTTAATTTTTGTCATGGCATTAGCAGTCTTCCTTGGAGTTTCAAGACTAAATAAAAAGTAACATTAAGAATTTGGAGAACCTCTCAGCCAGCTCTTTTAAAACTCTTGAAGACAAATCATGCGCATACATATTTAAAAAGTCTATGTTTAGAAACAGCTGTTTAATATACTGTTCCTGTTGAAATTTCACCATAATGATGTTCAGTTCCCTCAGACTGGAACCGAAGAAAAAATTATCATACATTTCTGCCTTTTCTGCATTATTTTTATACATATGCTATTTCCATTTAGTAATGGATCAAAGGATTCCTTTTTTCCTTAAGTACTTAAAGATAATCTCTTCCCAAATCATTGTTAACACTGAGTGTGGCTCCACAACCAGAGTTGCTTGTTCCAAATCAATATAAACATATATACCTCATCCTGGAAGGCAGGCTTTTCCACAAACTGGCTCCAAGCAGGAGACACTTGACTATAGAGAATCTAATTGTCCTAACAATTATGTTGTCCTAACTTAAGCACCTAAATTCAGTCCCTGAGCTGGGCAGTCCCTGGGACAGGAGATGCTATGAGGAGTCCACCTGGTTTTACCCCCACAGGTACAATCAGATTCTCTTCCCTGTTGTCCCAGGGAGCCCCTGAATTTCCAGAGCTAACTGAATTTAGCTCTGGAAATGAAGAGAAGAAAATCAGCGCTCAGCAGGCAACCTCACGATTAGCCCCATCTTTGGCTTTGCTAGTGGGCTGTGTGTTGCTCACTCCCTTTTGGAAATACTCTAACATCTTTTCGCAGGGCTGATAGAGATGGGGGCCCTGATTCTTTGCTCCCGTATGCTGGTGCTGAAGAAGAGGAATGGCACAGAAATCGGTGGCATTTCAAAAGAGCTGCTTCTCTCCCTCCAGCTGAACTACAAGTTTGTGGAGTCACTTCTCTTGCTGCTGGGATGAAGCCCCTCCCGGGGTGACCCTGCCAGCTGTTGAGCAGCCCCCAGGGCCACCATCGCACTGCTCCTGCAAACGCCACGCTCTTTAAAGAGCACAAGTGGTCGAGACATGGATTGTACTTGTTGTGCAAAAGATGAAGCTTCCTCTTTCTTTGTATTGCTATTTTTATCCTTTTATTTTTAACGCAAATATTTTCCGTTCTGATTTCTTCCAGATGGGAAGAAATGTCTTCCCCAGCAGTGCTGTGTACAGCAGCTGGGCACCCCAGGCTACGGTGATTTGGAGAAACGCCTTCACTGCCCGATTCACCTGCTCTTGTCTTGGGGGTTTCTTGCCGTGACATGGCACTATGGGGAAAAGCATAGAGGAATAAAATAATAAATAATAAATAACCAAGTGTCTCCAAGCCCCTATGTAGTTTTATTTAACTTTTTGTCTCTTCTTCCCTGACCTGAGCAAAGCTATTCCCAGAAAAAGGGAACAGATTCCCTGCTGTTACTCCCTTATGCAAGAGTTTCCTAATCGCTCCATCTGGTAGCTTTGCTGCGAACTCCCAGCACAGCCCTTTCTCCCAGGCTCGCCTGAAGAGCTGCTCTCCTCCTTGGGCTCACTCAGCGGGGACTTGAGATTTGAATGGACAAGTGCTGCCAATCCCACATGTCTCAAACCCAGGAGATGGGACTCCAAATACCATGAGATTGGCAAAAAGTCCATCAGATTAAGAACAACAAGAAGAGCCATATAACAATGGCGATCTGCTTATTTTGGAGCCTTTCACAAATGTGGCTGCAGTCATTTCCATTTTCTCTCTCAGGCTAGAAATGGATTGTTTTTAAGTAAAAGCCAAGGATCTCAGTTAATCATTTGATTCCAGGAATGAGCCTTTAAACAACACACCAAATCACGGGATACCCCAGCACACTGCTGGGGTTGCCAACACATTTGTTTTATGAGCGCAGGAGGTACCAAGCTGGCAAGCAGGGCTCTCTCTGCCCCGTAGCATTGCCCTCACCATGGGTCATTACGCTGGCATCAGTGATGCTTGTGCAGATTTACTGAAGATGATAAATACTCAGGCCCGTTAGAAAGCAGCAGTTTCCAGACTGCAGCAATCTTATCGCTGCTAGAACTTGTACACAAAGCAAAGGAGTGCATGAACATTGCCTAAGCAGGCCAGCCTGGCCTGTCCACGCATAGCCGGGCTGTTGGCGCCATGGCCAGCAGGTTGGGCAGAGGGGTGGCACGTGAGCGAGCTGCACTTGGAAACTTGTTAAAAACATAATAGAAGCTGAAAAAGTTTTGCTACAAAGGACAGGTAGGAAGGAAAGACTCAGATCCGTGGCTGAATCTGCAGAGACAACAGTTACGGAAAAACAAACAAACCAAAACATCTTTTTTTTCCTCAGTGTGTTGTATACAAAGATATTGTAGAAGGTAAAGGATCCTTTTTATACTTAAATGCGCAGATGCTTTGCAGTATAAAGACCATCCTTTGATCCCATCTGCTGCATTTCCTCCCACCTCCTCTCTCTCCCCAGCATCTTTTCCTTACTCTGCCTTTGCTCTCAGAGCAGCCTCCAGCTAACCAGCAAGATGAACACCATGAAAAGCCAAATAGGCAGTCCTGTGCTCCCAAAACTAGACTTTCCAAAAAGGTGAGGGCTCAAGAGCTAAAACCAAGGATTAGTCCTGAAGTGTTGGGCATTTTCTGCCCTGGGCAGTTCTGGCTGAAAGCAGGGGCTTTTACCCCACTGTTTGACGGATCTGTTGAAATGCTGCTTGTAGAGCAGCACTGAGGCCATGACCGTGGCATGTTAAACAGACCAAAAGTTGAGATGCTCGCTCTGGTTGCCCATGATGGCGTCATATGAGATACTTAAATATCAGTATGAGGGTCCTCACACTGTACATGAGCTGCCATTCAAAGGGATGGATAGTTCTCATCTCAGGCTCTGAAGCAAGACGTACCATGTACATGAGAGAGGCATCTGGATAGAGTGAGGTTGCATAGTCAAGAGGACACCTTTGTATCAAGTATTTGGGTGCACTGCCTCAGTCATTCCCTGTGCCTGAGACATGCAGCATCAGCCTGGATGAACCACCAGCTGGTTCTCCAGATCATGTATCAGCACTTCTCAGTGGTGAGGGGCAGTAAGGCAAATAGCACAGGAGAGCAGCAGCCACCACTCACTGCCTCTGCGGTGATGTAAGTGGATACCCAGAAAATCAGGCCCTTGTTATCAGTGCACAGATGACTCTTCTGGATGGTCTTCCAGCTGGAAGGAAGGAAGGAAACAGTTTCATTTAGCACATGGGCACTTACCAGGATATTGGTTTGCTTGTTGCATGTTGACCACGTTCCTTCTTTGGTCTTTATAATCTGGTGGCGGTCGTGTCAAGTGTCTGTTCAGCTGATCTTGTGGAGTGATTTTCTCCTAGAGGATTTGAGTAGAAATATATTAATTTGCTTTTCTTTATGCTTTCCTGGCTCTGTGTTTTGCCCACCACTTTCTTTTCTCAGTATTTACAAAGCTGAAGTGTTGCTTCCTTTCACCCTGTCTGGTGGACAGGGGAGGCAGCTGTGAACCTGTGCCATCACCCACTGAAGGCTGTATGGAAACCTTTCTGCTGGTTGTATTGTGTTTGAGGTATTATTGTATCTGGTCTAACTTTCCTTAAAATCACTGAGAGTTGCTCAGCCTATGCGAACGTTGGCCACGTCTGCACTGCAGTACAAAGTGTCCTCCGATGTCTGCACCTTCTTGCTCACCATCCTCATCAGACAGAGGAACCTGGTGGTTCCTCATGGCTCCCCCCCTGCCTGTGCAGCTGGGTTTTCTTTCAGAGAAAGCACAGAGGCAGGCCGAACACCCAGGTCTAACCCAAACACACAGCCGGGATGCAGCTGGGGAGCGATGAGGGTCCAGACCTGCAAAGTCCACACCTGACCCTTGTCTGCATCAATGTTCATTAACCCATTTCACCTATGCTGACCTCTCAGCGTGCACAGCTGGCAAAGAACATTTCAGCTTGTCATCCACAACCCCAGCCATGCCCATCCCTCACTCTCTCCTTCCTTCTATCCTGGAGGAGCTCCCACAAAAATCAGCAAAACCTGTTGCTTTGTTTTCCCTGGTGCCTCTCCTCACCAGGGATGCCAGCAGGACACATGGCCAGGGTTTAGCAAGGACAGTGCTGGGCTGGGCTGGCTGGTTTTCATACTACTCACCATTGCCCTGTGCTTCCCCGTACACGTATGTGGTGCTGTCATTCCTCTTACACTGGGAGTGCAAGCACTGGGAGAAGGACAGCGGGGAAAGATTGCAGAAAAAGCTGATTAGTAGGGGAGATTTTTTTATATTTGGGCACATCTCTGGTGAAGGGAAGATAGAAATCCAAGTCCTTGAACTGAAATCTGACTAACTGCCCTGTGTTCATAAAGATCTGGGAAGCGCAAGCACTGGAGTCAATGGCAAATCTCTGATCAGCATCACCGTGAATTGATGCCTCCAGAGTGCTACTGCCCACCCACGAGCAACGACTCCTTGGGATACATGGCCCCACGGCAGGAAAATGTGGGTTTGACCACCTCAGTCACTGTAAGTCATTGCCGGTGCGCACATGTCTCCTGGAGTCGTGGCTACTGGGCAGCTGCTGGGCTGGCTTCACCCCTTCTCTGCAATGTGCCTGAGTTTCATGCCTGGCTGCTAGAATGGCAAACTGGCTTGTCAGCGTGAAAAAGAGTCAGGCCCTGGCTGGTGTTGGATGTCCATCAGAGGGACAATTTGGAGATCTTCTGCCTTAAAACAACACGCAAACAGACCTTCTCATGAAAAATCTGTTTTTTCTTCTGCCAGGAGCACTTTACAACACTGGGAGGAGAGCCTTTCTTGCGATATTTAGGTATTTCCTTAATGCACTCTGGGACTGAGGGGTCTGATGAAGATTTATAAGGTTCATTTTAACATACCGCTCGACCTGAACCCATGTGAAGAAGAAAGACGAGTTATCTCCCAGGAAATCCCTGCAATACATGTAAAAACTGTAGGCAGGTTTTGTGTGTATTTCTATGAACACGATACAAAAGCAAATGCAAGCTGATTAAAAAAACGCATTCTGTAGAGTGATTTTAATTTTTATTTTACTTATTTTTAAGAAAAGCTACATGAGCAATTAACTTTCTGTTCTGCTAAAAACTCTGACAGAAAACTGCAGCGTTTTGAGCTGACTTGAAACTGCAGTTTTCTTCTGCATAAATTAAAAAGTCAACAAATATTTCCCTCATAGGACAAATGAAATCCTTAATTTCAAACTCAAGCTTTCTAATTGTATTTTTGGAACGGAAATAAATTTGTAAACAAAAAGATATTCTCTATAAAAAATGGAATAATTTTTTTTAAAACATCCCCACAAAAACGTGAATGTTTTTCCACTTCTGTGTTGTTCTTTAATTACTGAATGGCATTCACTAAATGTGTTAGTATTTCTGAGTCTACATCTTTATAGAGAAAAGAAGGTTTTGGATTCAAAATGTGAGGCCAGCATGAATGGGTCTACCCTGTAGCCTGAGAGATGCAGGTTGAGGTAAATAAGCCCCAGGCTCGGGGTCTGCAGTCATTGCAGCCTGGGGGAAGGAAAGGTGTGGTGTCACCTCCGTCCTTGCCCAGAACCCTCCCTGCAGCCCTTCCCCAGTTGCCACAGGGCACCTGTGTTGCTTTCTGCCTGCCCCAAGGGCATGTCGAGCTCAGCTCCTCTTCTAGGACTTCTCTCTTCTCCTGCTTTGGCAAGCAGGACTACCAAGGAACGGTGAATACGACGATGCAGAGGGCACGTGCTACTGCTCTGGGCAGCTGGGATTCCCCCCAGTTGCACTGGCCATGGGTGATGGGCCATGAAGAACCTTCAGCTGACTCAGTTTGTGCAGTATCAATGGCACAAACAGTATCGATGTTTTAGTGGAACAAAACCAGTGGATTCTAATATTTATCACTCCCAACAAGACCACAAATATCCCCCATGCATCATAAAATGACCAGAAACTCCCAATTGGTGTCTCAGATACCAAGGAAGAGAGAAGAACTGGCTACAAATATCTGGAAATGCAAAAAGAAAAACAGAGAAAGGAGGACTCATGTATGATCCCAGCCAAGCACACAAACTTGTGTTGAACACTAAAATCGATGTACCTGATCCTTGTTTACACACAGGCACTTTCTACTATGCTGCCTAGGTTGCAGAGCCTGGAAGTCAACTTTCCTCTGTGGTCAAAGTAGTGTAGCAGTGCACCTTAGCTTATCTTGCAAAGAAAACCACTGACAATATTCATATGCCTCAAATTAAGCATACGCTTAGACGGTTCTCATAACGAAACCACAGTAGCTTGGATACTTGAGTTGTTTCATATAAACTGAAAAAGGTTTCAAAAGGGCTTAGCAAAGTGCTGAAAAATATGAAGACCTAGAAGGTCTAAGCATTGCCAAAATTACCTCGAAGTTTTGGGGGCTTTCTTCCCCCGGTCTTAGCTTTCTTTTCTATTGTTTCTACGATAATCTTTTCCATCTAAAATAAGGAATTGGAAAACTTACGGCTTCTGCCAACATCTGCTGCTGTAGAAGGAGTTGTTTTTGCTCCATCATTTGCCGTTGCAGAGCCTGTTTCTTTTCCATCAGTTGCTGATTCAACATTGATTGCTGGGATGAGTTCATGTAACCACTTCCAGTGTTTGGATTTGAGCAAGAACTGGAGCTTGGAGTGGGGCCAGCTCCCTGGCCTACCACAGAGTGTTGATCCTGAAACAGAAGAAATGGTTCGTGAAGGATGAAAATAATAACAAGCATCAAGAAAAGGAAATAATGCTTTTTATGCAATTAGCTCAAGTACAGGACACAGCCCACAGAGGACAAGCGACCGATACAAAGGCTTTGACAAAATAAGAAGGGGATTGAGTAACTTCATCGCTCATGGAAGACTCTGAAAATGTGCCAGGTGGTTCCAGTGGAAAACCTCAATGTTGTACCAGGAGCTTGGGAAACGTTAACAGAAGTAACAGAGCCGTCTTGGGGATCTTTCAGGAAACTTGCATCGGGCCGTATGGCAGTTTGTTTGACCACAAGGGAACAAACTCGGCGTCTGCTGGTTCCTACCATCTGGCGAGCAGCGGCAAGAAGTTACAGACTCTTTGCTAGAAGTGGCATCTATTCTTAGAAAATGCAGAAGCGGTAAGTTGTTATTTTGCAGTGGGGTGAGTGGTGCCGCTTTCATTCGTCCCATCACCTCCCTGACAAGAGCAATCTCTGAGAGATTGCTAATTGTCTCCCATTAGCGGCAGGATTAAATAGGCTTAGAGTTTATCAGCTTCCTTGGTAAAACAAATGTGTAACTAGACAGGACTTTGAAGAGGGCTTTAGGGTCTCCCTGGTCTTTGTGATGGATCTAGCTCCGCTTCCTCTTCCCTGTGTGCAGCTTCATGAGGAAGGAATGGCAAAAAGTCATCTCAGGGGGCAATGGGGAAGGTACTTGGGAACTCAGACCATGTACATACAGGATGAGAACCTATATGGGATGGCAACATGCTGCTTATTTTCTTTTACCCGTGGTTTCCCTTGGCAGCAATATGTTTTCTGTCTACTTGCTCCACCACTGTTTTTTACTTGGACCTTTACCAAATGTAGGAAATAGTTTTCTCAGTCCACACACAAAAATGTGTTACCCCACAAAAATATTCAGCCTATGTTGGATCACTTGATAGTCAGGTATTCCTTAGCTGCCCAGCTGCAAGGAAAATAGGAGACACTGGAGAGGTCACAAGAGTCATGAGAAACATCAGTTTTCTGACTCCACTTTGTTGTAATTCACCATAGGAACCAAACCACTTAATTCTGTATAACCATAATATAGCAGTGTATTTGCTCTGCAACACAGGAACCCCTGACAGCTGCAGTCTGATGGTCCCTGTTATACAGCGGTTCTCTCAATACCGAGGTGTAGCCCCAAGGTCTGGTCTACTACCCAGGTAAAGCTTTGCTCCATGGCCATTGCCTCCCATGGCATCCAGGGAAATACGGACTGACCAACAGTGAAGCAAGGACTGGCCAGGCATAGCCTACTCATGCCCTGAAGACTGCGGAGCACTGATGCTCATCACTTTGCAAACTCCAGGAAAGTTCATTTCTGTGCCTTAGCTTTTGCACACCCCCCCACCCCCAATAACACACACACACTACAGACTAATCCAACTTATCTTTCTACCATCTGGCATGGAAGAAAGACAATGATAGTTATGGGTATTTCTATTTTAAAATAGTTCTGTGGCTTTAGATGGGGCCACACGAGTGCGTAGCTAGCTAGATAAAGTATTTGACGTCTGTTACTGAAATAAAAACCATGACTTTCTTCTGGAGCCACCTGCAGCCCCCAAGGCAGTGTTACAAACCCACCCTTCAAAATTTATTGGGCTCTTACACAATTATATCCCGCACACTTTCTTTCAGTTCCAGAAGGAATCCAGGATTGCTCGGCACTGCCACATTTTTCAGCCCTTATGTTAGCTGCAAGATAGAAAATACCTCCTCTCAACAGACCTGCTTGCCAAGTTGTTGCGCAAACTTTTTTGTCTTTCTTAAAATATTTTGAAAAGAAAAATATGTTTCAATAAATTGGCTTTGACTTCTGTATTCAAATGACAACTCTAGCTTGAACCCAGCCACATGTTACATCCATTAATAGAATTCATCTGTTGTGTTTTTGCACAGATAATGCAGGCTCCCCCAAATGCACTTTCATAGTCCTGCATAAAAAAACCCCCAACAAAGCCCAACTTTTTCTCTCCCTTATCCCCTGCCAGCGCATATAAGCCGTGGGGAGGGATTTTGTTTTAAGATAAACCGCGTAGTGTCCATTCACGATACCTATCAAAGAAAGCTCTTCTGTAATAGCAATTGGCACAAAACATCAGCTGCTTGGCAAACAGGCCCTGAGAAAACAGTATAAATCATCAACTTGGAGCCAGTTTGGGGTTTTTTGCATTTGGTCCTTTCTCTCCTGTTCATGAAACATCAGCGTGAACCTATGAATCTACGATGTGTTACTTCTGCCTGCTGATCTTCCATCAGCAGCAATGCGATGGGAGAAGGAAGAACAGTTTCCTCATAAATCAGGGGATTAGCTGCACGGCAGTTTGACCCTTCGTGAACCGGTGCTGTCGAGCTTACTCTTACCCCACACTTGCATCGCTGCAAATCAGAAGGCAGAAGGGCTACACTGCTGCCAGGGACGTGGGGCTCTGCCCCCGCGCTTAGACAAAGCACGCTTTCCGACATCCCTGCCGAGGAAGGGAAGATTTGGGTTGGAGCTACCCTGCTTTCATTGAACTGTTTCATCCTGCTCTAAGCCTGGCTTTACCACAGCAGCTTTACTATGACTCCACACATCTAAAGCTGCCGGTGGCCTTTTGAACTTCATTCCTGGGTTCCCATGCCTGTGGTTTATGCACTTTAACTTTAGAAATCCCTGACCAAAGAAGGCCTGGAGTGGGACATGCGTGTCCCCTCGCCCAGGAGCGCCTCTGCCCAGCGGGCTGCAGGGACAGCCCAGCATCTTGCCTGCATGGTGCCTTGCCTGCACGGTGACACCATGTTGTTTCCCTGCATGGGGAAGGTAACGCTCTCCCTGCTTTGCCTCCAAAGAGGTGATGCGACGGGGAGCTCACCCCTGCAGCCAGCTGGGTGTTAGGGACGGGCTGGAAGCATCACACCTCTGACAGGGACAAGTGTCAGTCTGGGTTCGCCCCCAACTCCTGCTCCACTTGCTGGCACCGCTCGTGCACGCTGCGTCCCTCCAGCCCCGCAGAGAGCTGCAGCCCTTGCAGGGCCATGTCCGGTGCCAGCTGCGGCAGGGGCAGCAGCCAAGGGCTGAGCTGGTGTTCACCCAGCACCGCAAACCCCATCTGCTCTGCTGGTGCCGAAACTCCAGCACAGCGGTGCCCTAGGTGCAAAGCAGGCGCGTTGCACCCCGTTCTCTGATGGTACAGTGAGATATAAAGCCTACAAGAAGCAGGAAGAGTGGCAGAGGCAGTGAAAGCTCCTCAGAGCTGGTAGCATAACTGGGGTTTTGTTCATAAGCATCACAAAGAACATTATGCTCAAATGTTTAAATTAGCAGCAAATCAAAACATGTAAGACTGAGTCTGCCTTTCACTATCCCTGCTGCAGCTGACTTGTGTTCGTACAAATGAAGGGAAGTTTTGGCTTCTAACACACATATGGACTTTCCAAAATAGACTTTTCCTTCTTTTCTCTTTTCTTTTCTTTT